GGGCGCGAGGGTGCGCTGGTGTACAATCAGTGTGAGGGGGTGGTGCTGGTGGAGAATGATGCTGATAAGAGCCAAGTAGGGAGATGTGTAAGGGCTCTGTATCTCCCTTCCCAGCTTAACAACCTGGAATGCATTGGCTGGCATTATTCGACCGAGCTCCTGGCAACCAGTAACATCACTGGTTGCCAAGAGCTCTGCAGAACACTGGCAAGATCATCCCAGGTTGCTTAGAGCTGGGCAGAGGTTGCCCAGCTCGTAACAACCTGGGACACTCTAGTCAGAAAGGGGGCAGCAGAAACACTGCAAACATTTTGCAGCAGGTGGCCATAGCGCTCTGTCTTTCACCCCCCCACGTGACCCAAAGAGATGCAGCCTGAGGCCTCATTATAGGGATGGCCCTGTCTGTCATACATAGCCAAGATATACTGATGGGTATTTTATTTGCTGACATATATTATTCAGAATTATTCAGAATTTCTTTGCACATTATGCTGTAGAAAAATATAATGTTTGCATTTTATTATGGGCTTCATTTCAAGTTTGAAAAATTGTATGCATAGTATAGAAGTAAGTAAAGTTTGGCTGTGTTTTATCTGATGTGATATGCATGATATAATAAATATTTTGTTTTGCTATCCAAGAAACATTCTCTGTTTTACAGTATTTGTTGGTTACCGTCATGTACCTGATGGATGCTCAAAGTGGTGAGGTTAACCTCTCTTGCTTCCGCATCGCTGATACAGACATGCAATAGGCCGCTCTGGGTAGGTAGACATAGGTCAGATGAGCAGGGACCAGCATGTCAATGCAAATTTCAGAGACAAGCCAGACAACATGCAGTCAGCAAAGTACAGGAATGGCAGGTGGAGATAAGCTCTAGCGGAAAGATGAGGTAGGTGACTTTGGGGCAGAAAAGTACAATAAAGCAGACAGAAACAGGTCAGGATGGCAACTTGAGGTCAGTAACAACATTTTTAAGTGTAATCTTCTGAAGACAACCTGACCTCAGTTAGAATGCCTTTGACTTCATCACTTGGTGGAGTTGATTTACTAATAAAGTATGTTCACTTTGCAAAATTACCCAATTATGCAAGGAAATTGGAAAAAAATAGATTTTTGCTTGTACATGATTGGATGATAGAAGTCAGCACAGCATCACTTACCTCATTTACTGAGCTTGATACATTTTTCACTTTTCAGAGTAAACAAATGAGTGCATTATTATTTAGCTTAGTGTATAAGGTGAAGTAGTGTTGACTGCAATCATCCAGTCATGTTAGAGCTTGTGTTTTTGTGTTTTCCATGTATTCTTTGAAAAGTAATTTTTTACATTGTTTCACTTCATTAACTACAATAAATGAAAATTCACTTTGCAAAGAGAACGTACTCAAATTCTTTAGAAAATCAGGGTCAATTATTTATTGTAGATCACGTTTAAGCAGCCTGCAGGTCTGTCCCTCCTCGCCGCCCCCTCCCCCATGGTCTACCCCCACCTCCGGCTGCATCTCTCCCTGCTAGCCACTTCCCTCTCCACCATGGTTTTCAGGGTCCCCCACTATTCTGGGGGACCCGGGACGATGGCAACATAGTTTAGAATGAAGAGCGGGGAGCAAAGCAGAGAATGTCCGTTTGACTGCTCCGTGTAAACATTGAGAGCCTTCCCATCTCAGCTGTCACAGGAGTTGCAGCACATTACTGTGCTCAAACTGCTGTATTGGAGGTGACAGGTTCAATAAAGAGAACCTGTTAACTCCAAATGCTATCACACAGGGGCTTGTTAGTAAAAAATAATAAAAGTAGTAAAATAGAAATAAGTAGGAAAATAATAAAAGAAATAAGAAAAAATAAATTTAAAAAAATTAACAAGTGATAAAAGGAAAAACATAAGATAAATACAAATTCAAAAAGGTATAAAAAAGTAATAAAATTAAGAAAAAAAAAATGAAAACCAACCCTGCCGGCACCGCCATCTGGTTGCCATTCCCCATGTGAGGGGGGCACATTGAGGAACCTGGGCTTGGGGCAGCAGAGATAGTAAATCGGGATAAAATAACAAAAAAGTATTTTGCATGTTGATAAATTAATATCATATGCTGTTTATCCCAAGAGGTAGGGATAACAACTAACATTCGTGAAGAGTTTACAAAATAAGAATTGTGGTTGTTATTGTACAGTATGTTTATCTGCCGGACAGTCTGGAATTCTGGTTATTTGATAAAAATAGGGGAAAGTGGAAGGAGCTTGGTGAAACAATGTAGCATGCAGGGATAGTGAGAATGAATAATCAGGCATGTTATGGTGAGGTGGGCTCTGTGGACTAGTTTGTGCTGGCTCTGTTGGGGCAAATCCCGGGATTCCAGACTACTTTGATTTTTGTATGAATACTGGTTGAATATTTGGTTTATATGTATAAGTACCTGTTTTGTAGTTAAAGTGAACTTTTTTTTTTTTTTAATAAGCAATTTCCAGTCTGTATATTTTAGAGTCTCAATGGCTGTTTTTCTTTAAATTTACTTTTAAGGCTGGAATGGTATTACATTATCGGGCACCGCTACTGCCTCGGCAGAAATCTTTTATCCCACCACAGATTCCGAATCCATTTGTCCATGAAATCAATCTGAAATTCACTGATAAGATACGGGTAAGAACAGAACAATATTAATGTTTTTGCCAATGTAATTTTTAAATTTTGGGAAATATATGTTCAATATTTATGTTCATTATATTAAACCCTGAGGACCAAGGTTTCTTTGAATGTAAGCAGATTTAATGTGAAAATTGTATTACATTCTAAAAGTACTGTATAATATGTGTATAATGTCTGTACGTATAATATGTGTTTCCTATTTAGCTTAGTAAATGGTCTAAAAAAACTAGCTGTATTTTGTTTCCGGTGTATAGATACTGGATATATTTATTACATGTTGTTGATTTTCAGTTGAGCATTGAGAATGCTCAGCTGATAGTAGTTGATGACTATGAGCATTAGACCCAGAGTATGAATGGGGTCATCTTTACCACAGGGCAAAAGGGACAACTGGTCCCACAATTTACAGGGGCCCACAGCACCTGTCCTTTTCATCTGGAGTGCCAGGCAGGAGAGCAGCAGCATCGCTGGTGGTGGTGGGGGGCCCAGTGAGATCCGATACCGGCACCCCATCATTGGAGGAGGCAATGCACTTTAATTTTTTTATGTATTCAGCTGCTGTAAGGTCCCGCGCTTCCTGAGGACCTCGCAACAGCCTTCTTGGGAACCACAGCGTTGCCTGTTTACAACGCCGGCGTGCATCCCTGCTGTGATCCTTCACATCTGCCCCTGCTTTAATCTGCCACATTTGCCCTTCTGCGATCCTCCACATTTGCCCTTCTGCGATCCTCCACATTTGCCCTTCTGCGATCCTCCACATTTGCCCTTCTGCGATCCTCCACATTTGCCCTTCTGCGATCCTCCACATTTGCCCTTCTGCGATCCTCCACATTTGCCCTTCTGCGATCCTCCACATTTGCCCTTCTGCGATCCTCCACATTTGCCCTTCTGCGATCCTCCACATTTGCCCTTCTGCCATCCTCCACATTTGCCCTTCTGCGATCCTCCACATTTGCCCTTCTGCGATCCTCCACATTTGCCCTTCTGCCATCCTCCACATTTGCCCTTCTGCGATCCTCCACATTTGCCCTTCTGCGATACTTCATGTCTGCCCCTGCTGCGATCCTTCACATCTGCCCCTGCTTTGATCTGCCATATCTACCTCTGCTGTGATCCTTCACATCTGGCCCTGCTGTGATCCTCTGCATCTGCCCCTACTGAGACATCTAGCCCTGCTGCCATTCTTCACATCTTCCCCTGCTGCAATCCTTCACATCTGCCCCTCGTGTTTTTCCACATCTGCCCCTGATGTGATCTTCCAAATCTGCCCCTGCTGCTATCCTCAACATTTGCCCCTGCTGAAACATTCCACATCTGCCCCGATCCTCCGCATCTGCCCCGATCCTCCGCATCTGCCCCGATCCTCCGCATCTGCCCCTGCTGCGATCCTCCGCATCTGCCCCTGCTGCGATCCTCCGCATCTGCCCCTGCTGCGATCCACCGCATCTGCCCCTGCTGCGATCCTCTGCCCCTGCTGCGATCCTCTGCCCCTGCTGCGATCCACCGCATCTGCCCCTGCTGCGATCCACCGCATCTGCCCCTGCTGCGATCCACCGAATATATGCCCCTGTTGCGATCCTCTGCTGAGACCCTCCACATCTGCTCCTGATGTATTGGTGGGATCAGGGGCGGACTGACAACACATGGGGCCCCCGGGCAATACAAGATTATGGGGCCCGCTTGTGCTCCGCTCATATACAAGCCCCACCTGCATAAACATTCTTGTGTCACATACATATTTTCTCCACACTATTTTTCAAGTAGTGGGCCAATTTAATAAAAGATGAATTTTCAGGGAACTGGTAGGAGAATTTCAGAATCTAGACCATTTATAGGCAATTTGGAAAGTCTGCTAAATGGCAGAATGCATGGCAGACCTCAGACCAGAACCAAGACACGGCAGACTTCAGGCCAGAACCAATACACGGCAGACCAGGACCAATACATGGCAGACCTCAGACCAGAACCAATACATGGCACACTTCAAACCAGAACCAATATACAGCACACTTCAGACCAGAACCAATACACGGCACACTTCAGACCAGAACCAATACACGGCACACTTCAGACCAGAACCAATACACGGGCACACTTCAGACCAGAACCAATACACGGCACACTTCAGACCAGAACCAATACACGGGCACACTTCAGACCAGAACCAATACATGGCACAGTTCAGACCAGAACCAATACACGGCACACTTCAGAACAGAATCAATGTATGGCAGACTGGGCAGTTAGAGTGAAACATACACAGCGACATCTCCGGGATCAGCCATCACACAGTCTGATACCTGTGGGATGCCACCCGCACACGCATTAATGCACAGCTCCTTCTATGCCAGCACACATGCTCACCTTTAGCTGGTGCAGCAGGTGGGTGCAGCTGTGTTAAAGCGGCAACAGCAGTGTCTGTTTTGACCCGGGAGGCGGGGGACACTGCCCCTGCCACTTTAACACAGCCGAATCTACTAGTTTGGCTGCGGCTCGGCCGAAAACATAACAGAGATGGCGCACACACAGCTGCCTTTCCTTCAGTGGCAACTCGAGGAACAATATATGGGGGGCACATAAGATACCACAGTCAAATCTGAGGGGGCACTAATCATTTTCATTGCATGTCACAACCGCTATGCGCAGAGAGCTGATTTAATTGCGGATGGCATCTGCGCCCCACGGCTGCAACATGTAGTCCAAACGCCGCCCACAATCCTAAATACCGCCGAGCTCCGACCGCAATAAAATCAGCTCTCAGTGCCCGGTAGGTGCGGAATACAGCAGGGGCTGACTGGCAACTTTTAGACCAGGGGACAAGTACAACCCAGAGGCCCATGGTGCAGCAACTTGGTCCCTCTCCCGCTCTGCCTCTTCCCCCGCCTTCTCCCCGCCTGCCACTTTTGCTATCCATGTAACGGTAGTGTGAACGGTCGGGTGATGTGAGGACTCCTAGTAAGTCCATGAAAGGGGTGACTGGCTGGGGGATAGTGCTCTCCTTCCACTGGGCTCTCTACATAATTCTGGACTTACGCCGCTCCATGTCCGGTACTTAGGCACTCTCGCCCACTGTAGAGCGCCGCTAGCTGTCCATGCTTCTGGGCTGTGAGCTGTGGGAGGATAGTGGGAGAGGCTGGATAGTGTCAAAGTCAGTGTTCTATAATTTTTCTCACTCCTATACATTTTGTCCACTGTGTCACTTCCAGTGGGGCCGAGTCATCCGAATAAGCTGTTTTCATGACCCCCTTTCTTCATGACCTGCACACCTGGAAGAGACACGGTAGAGAAATTCATGGGTTGAGGAAAATTAAAGCACACTGGTAGCGGAGGGATGCCTCATCAGTGCTGTGCACGTGTACGACTGCTGCAACCCTGGTAGTTCTGCCTCTAACTCCAAGCTGTAGAGGGACTACAAATCTCAGCACATTATACAACAATGTAGAATAATACCATCAGCTATAGAGGACTATGAATCTCAGAAATACATTGTACAGCATTGCAGAATGGCATTGGCTATAGAGAACTACAATTCCAAGCAATACATTACAACACAATGCAGAATACCATCAGCTATAGAGGACTATAAATCCCAGCAATAATACATTATACAGCAATGAAGACTACCAACAGCTATAGAGAACTAAAATTCCCAGCAATACCATTATATAAACCGAAAAGAATTGTATCAAAGCGCTAAAGGTGTAAACTGTGAAGATAATATTGAATACAATCAAGCATTCAAGTGAAAAACCGAGTGATCGGGTGAAGATAGTAAGTGGAAAGGGGCTGCATATTTTAACCTCAGCCTATCATAAGGTTAAAATGATTATCAGTATCAAATGTCTTAAATAAAATTGTATCAAAAAGACTGTGAGAAACGAAAAAAAACAAAGATCCAAAAGATAACACATAGGTAAATGGTCGTGAAGAACTAGTGATAATAACGAATGTAAAACAAAAAATGATAAAGTGTTACATTAGGTCATCAGTCAGTAATATGTAACAAAGATCATGTTAGCCTTTCAAAGTCAATCAGCAATATATAACAATTTATAGGCTGATCTGCAAGTAGCACTCTTTCAGTGAAGATATCAGATCGACGAAAAAACAGTGTTCAGTGGATGATGATTTAAAAGCCAGGAGAGAAAAACACAAGGCAAATAATTGTTTATCTATTTCAGTTGTAGTCCGACAGCCCCCCTTATGGATGGGTACTCACCAGAGTGTAGTGAGTAGACTGCTTTTTAGGTTAGCGGCACTTTGGTCTGCGGTCCTACTCCAATTTGAACTCTGTTATTTCCGCTTTGAGACCCGGCAGGAAGAGTTTTTTTCCCTCTGCAGTGCTGGAGATGTCTTACAGGCACAGTGATGAATTCTAAGTGCGCTGTCAGCGAACCTTATCTCAGGAGCCCCACGGTGTTTAGGAATTAGAAAAAGAGAGAGCCCTCATGATGCAGTAAAAAAATACCATTATATAGGAATGCAGAATAGCCTCAGCTATAGAGGACTACAAATCCCAGCAATACATATTACAATAATGCTGAATAATATGAAGCTGCATCCTCTGTGTTGCTCTGGGTTTGCCGCCTGATGTCTCCAGGATCTCAGGAGGGTTGTTCAGGCTCTCACCCGGGGTCCAGAGAGTTGTGTGGCTGCAGCAGAGGCAGCTCCCTAATTAGGCTCTCAGGTGGCCAATGCAGACTGTCAGGTGGTCAGTACAGGCTCTCTGCTGGTCAGTGTGGGATCTGTGGGGGCTCCCTAATTATTAGTGGTGGCTCTGTGGTGGATCCCAGGTGGGTAGTGGAGGCTCCCTGGTGGTTAGTGGAGGCTCCCTGGTATAGGGTGACCATTCATCTAGAGCTGCAGCTAACTATTATTTTCAAAATCGATTAGTTAGCCGATTTATTGAGTTTGATTAACCGGTTAATTGGGATAAAAAAAATGGCTCCAGTGATGGACTACTAGTTTGTATTGAGATTGTAGTCCATCACAGG